AGTGCTGCATTTAACCACTGCGCCACCTTGCCTCGTTTGCATAGTCTACAGATGTTGTGTTTGTTAATGGTCAGAGTGCCAGGCGTTTAGAAATTACCTGGCATTTTTGGACTTGGTCTGGTCTAGGACAGTCACATTTTCCCAATGGAAATTAGTTATGGCCAGGGGTGGGATTCAGGTTTTTTTACCAGCAGTTCTGTGGGCGTGGCATGGCTTGGTGGGCATGGCAGGGGAAGGATACTGTAAAATCTCCATTCCCTTGCCACTTCAGGGGAAGGTTACTGCAAAATCCCCATTCCCTCCCCATCAGCTGGGACTCGGGAATAGATGGGGGCAAGGTCAGTCAGAGGTGGTATTTACCAGTTCTCCAAACCACTCAAAATTTCCGCTACCGGTTCTCCAGAACTGGTCAGAACCTGGTGAATACCACCTCTGGTTATGGCAATAGTGTTATAATTACATGTGAAAGATGCCCATGTAGTACTTGAACCATAATAGCTAAAATGCCTCCAACACAAGAAACAGGAGGGAAGCTCCCTCTGGTCACTCCTACAATAGGAGCAGTCGGTGCCTAGAGATCCATACAGATCTCTGGTCTTCTGCAATGTATTTTTTCATTGATGCAGACTCTGGTTCTGGACTTCAGAAAAATGGCACCAGAGGGATTCAGAGCATCACATATTTTACTGTCCACAGACGTTTCTGAGGATGTGTGCTTGTCTGACTTATTTAAAGTACTCTCATTCTAAAGAGATTCAGAACAGCACTTGGCTTCCCTCCACTTAACTGAGTAATGCCACATGTGTAGGAGGTTGGCATGAGAATAATGTCCAATCATTCCATTTTATTTTAGAGTTGCATTCCTACAAAAGCTCCCTGTTTCAAGTAGCTTTCTTCTCCATTCTTTTCCTCAGGAAATGTCTGTCAGCGATGTTAAGCTGAATGACTTCTCCAGCTCCTTGACATTAGTGGTTTCCCAAGGGTAAAAGAATATGAGTTTTTGCTTCTCCGTGAGAAGAAATCCATTGTCACTGAATCTTCCTGGGATGTTCCCAACATCCAACCAAACAAAAGGTGCGATGGCTGTGGCTTCCAGGGCAAATTGAAAATGATCTCCTTCTTGGGAAATAGACACCTGAAAGGAGCAGACACATTTAGGTTACTCTATTGTTTCATTACATATTTGGAATTCTAGAAAATTTGTACTACACCTGGTCTTTTTAATACTGTGCTATCTTCACAACGAATTACTCTAGTTTGCAGAAAGAATAAATGGTGCAAAAACAGTATAAAGAACACCCCAATTATTAAATCCCATTTATACCCACATAAAGGGTATAAAGATAAAGGTGCTAGTCATTCCCAACTCTAGGGGGCAGTGCTCATCTCCGTTTCAAAGCCAAAGAACCAGTGCTTTCCAAAGGCGTCTCCGTGGTCATGTGGCCAGCACGACTAAACGCCGAAGGTGCACAGAACGCTGTTACCTTTCCACCAAAGATAGCCCCTATTTTACTACTTGCATTTTTTACATGCTTTCAAACTGCTTGGTTGGCAGAAGCTGGGACAAGTAACGGGAGCTCACCCCGTTATGCGGCACTAGGGATTCAAACCACCGAACTGC